AGGTCGGACGCGCGGGTGCCCTCCAGTGCTGGGGGTGAGAGCAGGGGGGCTGGGAGCCCGGACACCTGGGTCCTCTATTTGGGGAGGGGGATTTAGTGCAGGGGGGCTGAGCCCGGACACCTGGGTTCGTTCCCTGGTGCTGGGGGTGCTCTGTGGGTGCGGGGGGGTAGGGCTGGGAGCCGGGACTCCTGGGTGCTCTCCAGGGCTGGGAGGGTGGGAGGCCTGGGGGTTTCTCCCTGTCTGGGCTGGGGGAGTTCGCGGTGGGGAGCCCAGACGCTTGGCGTCCCTCCTCCAGGCTGGGAGGGAGCTGGGCCGGGGGTGGCGGGGAGCCAGGGCACCTGGGTTGTGTTCCTGCCTGTGGCCTGCGAGGATCCCCCCACCCCAGCCGGGCCCGCCCGGGGCAGGCCCAGCCGCCTGCGCAGGCATTGCCGGCCCAGGCTGGGATGCCCCCTCCCCCCGGGCGCTCCGCTGTGCCCGCCTGGGATGTCTCCCTGCCCGGATGCCTGGGTTCTCTGCCAGCTCCGCGGCTGGCCGAGAGCAGGGGGTGCCGGGAGTCTGGACGCCTGGGTCCTCGGCCAAGCCGTGGCGTTCAAGCAGTGGGGTGCCGGGAGCCCGGGTCCTCTCCCCCCTCACTGCCCCCCACGCCCCATTTGCCGTGTCAGGCCCGGGACACCCAGACGGGGGAACTGGCTGCTATTAAGATCGTGAAACTGGACCCAGGTAAGGACTGGATTTGAGGACCCCCATCCTGGACCTCCGGAATAGGGGCTGGGAGCCTGGGCAGCTGGCTTGTCTCCAGCTTGGGAAGGGGGCGCGGAAATGCCCCCTAGGTCAACTTGGGAGGGGGGGGGTCTCAAAGCTGCAGGTACCGACCCCCCCTTCCCTTTGCAGGGGACGACACAAGCTCCATCGAGCAGGAGGTGACGGCCCTGCGGGAGTGCGGCCACCCCAACGTCGTGGCCTATTTTGGCAGCTACCTCAGGTGCGGGGGGCTGAGGGGGGGCCGCTATCCCAGCTCCAACCCCCCCAGAGCCAGCGGCCTCTGTTGTACTTTCCTGCTGACACCCCTACCCCAGAGCCAGCCACATCCCAGCTCTGGGCCCCATGTGTGCAGCCCCCAGAAGTGCCCTGCTGGTGTTGTAACCCCCCCATTCTCTCCCCCCCCCCAGGAATGGATCTGCATGGAGTACTGCGGGGGGGGCTCCTTGCAAGAAATCTACCACGGTGAGTGCTGGGTGCCCTCCGGCCCTGGGGGTGGGGGGCGAGAGCCGGAGGCCTGGGTCCCCTCCGGCTCGGGGATCTGCCCCGGTGCCCTGCCCTCCCCGCGGATGGGGCCCGGGCGTCTGGGGGTGTTGTAAGGAACGGTCTCGGTTTCATGCTGTTTTGCTTCCTGTTTGTGACATGAGCCTTTTTCCTGCTTCGGGTGGGGGGGCAGGAAGTGGGGAGGAAGGGAGGGGGGGGGGCTGGGCA